TAGTAGGCTGCTGAGACCGGCAATCTCGATGGCGTGGAATGCACTTTGCAAAAGAACCAGAAGCTCGTCGTCGGCACTCGCACGGCAGTTGCGCACGCAGCTGTGGCTGCTGGTGAATACTCCCTATTTGGGAGGAGTGGAGAGCCTAGATTGTAGACAAGGTCCAACTCAAACCGTACGCGTGCACTGCGTTGTCTCGTGGCAAGGAGGAAACCGCGCGGAAAGGCGGAGACGTTTGCAGACTGGCTACGCAATTGCCGTCCTCTCGCAGCTCGTATCTGTGGTATGGAGCATCCCGCCACCTACCAGCTTGCCTTTGCGGCCAGCGGGTAGATGACGACGAAATAAAGTTCCTCTTCTACGTGGTACTTTGGCCTGTGGCAGGCTCGACCGGGGTCACGGCCCGTAGACCACGTGACCCCAGTTGAGCAGTTGGAAACTCCCCGTAATACAGGCTGTCCAGGGAGAAGATCCGACCGGTGCACCGCTAGCGGCTAAGCCGTGGACAAAGCCCGAAAAAGGAAAAACGACGCACATCACTCGGTTGTGTTTCTTAAGCCGCGCTCGGCCGACGTGGCCGAACGCCGCGTCACTGTTGAGCTGAGGCTCATGTCCAGTTGGTGGGGAGCCTTTCGAGGACGGGTCCCGGCCAAACGCCAGCGAAGCCCTCCTGTCCAAATTCTGTCTTGTGCTCGGTCGAGGAAGACAATGTAAAAGGTCCAACCTGCTGGTCTTGATTTGGGTAAACACCGAGCTTTGTGGGAAACAAGCTGGACAAAGCACCCCCCTTCTCCATGCTTTACACCATGGGGAAGGGGCATTTAATCCATCTGCTATACTTCGTCTGGTGAAAATCCAGATGTGGACGATGGAACTAATCGGACCGCGTCGAAAGCGCACTGTCGTGGTGTTCGTTGTGTTTCTGCACGTGTTCTATCATCGCCTTACCAATCGTAAACAGAAGGGGCCTGGTGACTGGTGCTTTTGACGCCACTTGATTGGTCCCGCTGCCTCGTAGTGTCGGCTGCATCTGGACTTCAACTGAAATGAAGTATAGCTGTTGCTATGGACGAAAACCGCGTATCATTAGCTCTGTGTTTTAGCATTTCAAAAAGGTTTGTCACCCAAAATCATAAAGAAGGGTAGCCGACCATTGATGGCATTGACCCCTAATGCGGAGTGTGCACCACCTCGTAGGCGTTGAAGTAGCCCCGCTGCTGGGCAGAGTTCCGCAACTGAGTCAATCTAATAACGGCATGGGGTTCGTTCACCATAAAAGATACCATTTTTATATTGTATTTTTAGAACTGTAGGGTAGTGTTGCTGTTAATGTTTTGGGTAAACAAATGGTAACCGCTTTTGGCCCGTATCAGATTTGCTGAGGGTATGTCTGTGTGTCGTCTGTTCTTCAACTATGCTTTCCTGTCTTTGTTTTTAAGGATTTTATGCCTTGTCTTGTTGAGATGACCTATTGTTTTTTTTCAATCTGTACAATGGCCAAACGTCACACGAAAGTGTCATGTACCTGCTCTGCAGTTAAACGGGAATGATTTTGGATGCAAATTTTACAGTAGCAAACCTATTGGGCTGCATTTGAAATTCAAGTGCTGAATCGTTAATTAAGACATAGGTACAATGGATAATTAAAACAGACTATTATATGAAATCAATTGATAGACCGTTTATATAAAAAAAAAATCAAGCATACAAGAATACAGTGTAGCGTCTGTTGATTTCTCTTGGCGTCGCCGTTGTTCTTGTGCTTGTGGCTAAACTACTCCATGTTTTCTGCAGCTAGGAAACCACTCGACGTCATGTTTCTGAAATTATAAGTGTCGTCAATTTGTTGCCCTAGATGACCGATAGTGAACATGCTGGTCCCATAAGTGGATTATTCTTTGGGCCATGCGGGATTCTCTGAGCCATGAGGGCGAGACACAATCGTTCGGCACATACGGCCATGGAGTCATCTTTACTGCAGATTTCTCTCTGCGAATCGTGACTGAAGACAGTCCTACACCATGCTGTGATAGCAACATATCTAGGCCCTTGTTACTCATTCATCAAACACTGGGCAACCATATTTTGCTAGATATTTTCGCATTCCTTCCCCATTTGTATTTTTCTGTCGCGCACCATTATCCTACTTTCACTGTTTCAACGACACAGTCCCAGTACCACCATCAGTTATGCCCCTGCTGTTCCAAGTGTCGTAGATGTGCCGATACCACGCATGTGTTCACGTGCGACCCATACGTGCATCTTTTAACTAGCGTTTAAATTTTTCGCTCATGGTTGTAGTCTAAATTCCATGTGACCAGCCTGATTGCTGCAACGTTTCCCTTTTTCGGGGCTTTTCCTTGACGTCCCACGAGGCTTCCAGTGTAACCGAGCGCCCTCAAAACAGAACTCCGAGGCGTCTCGCGACGGAACTCCGAAAAACGACACGAATAAAGTCGACTTCTTTTGGGACGTCCTCGTGTGCCGTGAAGTACCCTTTGGCCTCAGTGTTGACAAACGCAGGATATTGCATGTGTCTTGTGCACTCGCCACCTATTGGTGACGCCACCTCGCGGGCACCCTCTTGTGACGGAGGTGGTAGGATGCGAGCAGACGATGTGCTATGTCAAGGCATGGAGGGACTATGTTAGTTTGTATCTATGCCGATTAAAAATGGTTTATTAAAAAACGTGTATGACGTTTTTGTGAGTGACCTTTTTAATGAATATACCTCAAAGTTGCTCTTTATATTAAAAAAATATTTCAAATGTTCAAAAACGAGCCTGGAGCTTCACATTACAGCTCGCGCGGCGTGCATTGGGGGTAATCACAGACGCTTTGATTCTTGTTTTTTCGGATCTGTGGAGGCTGCTGTAGAAAAAGAATTTGCACTCATCAGGATAAACGATGCTCTGTCTTCTTAGCTGTGCACGCACACACAGTTATGTTGCAAGGCACCGCACACTTGTTTCAGCCACATGAGCTTGCCAATACCGATGGTTCTATCCAAGTGACTTGACAGTTGCCGACAAGCAAACGCCCATCACCAGCTGACGCTTAGCTTCTCCTGCATCGAATACGTAGTAAAGAAGTTTGTCACATCGCGACTTTCTCTCAAAGAAAAGCAGAAATTTTAATATCTTCGGAAATGGCTCGGCAAATTCAGGCGATTGATAATTTGTTCTACCCAATTTTTACTACCTGCCAGTTATTTCGAGGAAATGTTTGTTTACTGGTTTACAAAATTCAAAAAAGGAACCGACTTAGAGCCAATAAGAGGCCAGCCCTGATAGAACACACTGGAACCAACAGGATACACGGAGTTGCTTTCACTAAAGTGCTTACTACACACGCGAGAGCTGCTCGAATTTCGCTTTCCTATTTCGTCCAAATCGCAATAAAAAAAAAAAAATACGCCCTATTCACTGTGGTAGATGTAGTGGGATAAAGCTCTGGATATTCTATTTTCATCGTCCAGCTTTTCCTACTCGGGTAGAGAACAGTACACCACCATCCGAGCACTTCGAAGACCTCGGCGCCAAAGGTTTTTAGCACAACAACACATGCCACGTTGTCAAACTTCGGTGAAACGTCCTACTACAACTATCGCTTCACCGAATAAACACAATGCGTAAAACAGGCTTTGCCGCGCAGTAGCCAAACGTTGTATGAAGCGAGCCTACGAGCGGGGGTGTCCGAAATCGGCGCGGTCTGTCCTACCTGCGATGTCACAAACGACGACGATAATAGCTAGGAAAGTGCCCCCCGTAGTTCGCGCACGCCGCCAATAGTAGCCCGACAGAACGAGAAAGGCAGGGCATCTCTTTCGTACTGCCCGTGCATCCAAAGCGATCCCCAAGCGGCAACCAATGACGTCGCAGAAGCCAGAGTGTCTCGCTGTCAGACGTCACGATCCTGGCGGTCGGTCGTAAAAGGGTGTAAAGAGTGCAAAAAGACGCAAGAAGCGAACGTGCCGCTCGAACTCCGTTTTGCTCGGATGTAGTCCGACCGTTCAGGTGGCAGATTCCCGGCCCTCGGAGCCTGACGTACGAATTACGTCGATCGTTCTGCTTGATTTTTATTTTGCATGACCGTGATCGAAAATCACGTGCACCATATTTTCAGGCGCCAAGAGTTACTCCGACACACTTATTTTGTTTCTCGTGACCACCGCCAGATTCGAACTTGTGGAGACGCCCTGCCCACTTCTGACCAATGGCGCCTCCTCATTGGCCTCCTATACTTCCCAGTGTATGGTCAAACTCTCTCTATATACGGCCTGTTCTGCCTCAACCGCGCGTCGGCGAAATGTCGTCCGAGCCGGCTTTGTTTGGCCGTGACGTAGCTCGATTGCAAAACGACGTATGTTTTTCGACGCAAGGGGTCTTTGCCGGGTGTACTTCGCCTGGGTGCGTCGACACCCACTTTTCAGGGACTCCTTTGTCGTGAAAAAATGTTTGTCCCTTTAGCTCGTTACAAATGGAGCGAAATTCGATAAGCCTCATGCAGTATGTTGTGGTACCGTACAACCCCTTGCTCCGGGTCCCTAGATTAGCGTGCAGCCTGTGCGAAGAAGTTAGGGAGGTTTGGAACATGTGAAACTAAAGCTTGTGCTGCAGAACCCAGGCTCAATTCCTGCCCCTGCCCGTTTCGATCTAGACAAGCATCGTACCGGCGTGCATTCATGTGTCACTACTGCGTGGTGCATGGTAAGGACCAGAGGCTCGCAGTGGTATTGTACTAGTTAAATCTCTCATCTGCAGCGTAAAGCAGTGTCGCCACACCTCAAAGGCTTATTAGACCTTGCGCTGTCTAAGCTTAAACGTCTAATTTGCTTCTTTTTTTTTTTGCTTCAAGAAGCAAGGCCACTGTGGATGTGTATCACCTGTTCTGTTGTATTGATTTTGGTGCTGGGAATCGCCAGTTTTCTTTTTGGCTTTCTGTGGCAACATTGTGAGTGTTGCAGCATATAATGGCAAGTTCTGATGCAGCCAGGGAAATATGCCTCGCTGACAATGACTTTTATTTAGACAAACAAGGAAACAAATACATAGTAGAAATAGCATAAAATGCCCTCCTTTCCCACACAAAAAAAACATGCATGCTATAAAAATGAGATGAAAGGACATCGGTCTTTCTTCATTCATGTTCGCAGTACTGTTCACTAATTTTTAATTTATTTTAAGTCATTCTCTGCCAGTGTGGGTAAATTTCATTAATATTTAAACATTGACATTACAACCTGGAGTGAAAAAAAAAAAGTATTAGAAGGGAATGAACTACAGAAACTGGTAAGAAAAGAATGTTGTTGCAGCTTGTTTCCATGCAATGCAGGCAGAAAATCCTGTTTCTGGAAGAGTATAGTAGTGTTCCAAATTAACGCTGACTTTACTTCTTGAGGGAGGGAACGCCATTTTAATTGATCACTAGTGCTCAGTTTCTCAATACAAAAGTAACTAAAAATGTTTAATTGTTTCAGATAGCAGTTGACAATTCCACATATTTTAGAGTTTTCGTCCAGAAGTCTTCACTACTGGGCCATAGTTGAACTAGTCGACGTAGAACACATGCCAACATTAAGCCTTCACTTTGCTTTCACAGCCTGCGTTCCATACTGTCAAGACTGTCATTCTTGTCACGTGACAAATGAGTTTGTTCGGAGCATGCCCTTTGAACCACATCTTGAAATATGGTGTCCACCTTTGCCAACACAAGATATAGACGACCTGCATTCTCGCTTCTTGACTAAGTCGTCCGTGTTTGTCAGGAGGTACGATAAAATTGACCTGCCACCCACTACAACCAGGTAAACCTAAGATTATTAAGCACTGAACAGTGACCCCCTGGTTTGAGAACCCGTTCCCACTGCTGGCACAAAGCACACAAAATGGGGGCACTCACTTGTACCCTTTCCATTGTGGTACCCCAAAGTACAATCACGAGAGAGCACAAAAACGGCGGAGAATGGCACGCCATACCGTCCGTGGCACCCAACAAATGCCCGAAGAGTTTCCAGAAGTGGCAGACGACACAATGCAAGAAAATTACCGCCTTGCTTGTAAACCTTCGCAATCATCCATACCAAAAGGGCAACTTCGATGGAGAATGGCGGAGCGCCAGACACTACGGTGTCTGCCTTCATGCAACTCGCAAGACGGAGGAGGAACATCTAAAAAATGTTTTGGTACCTGGAACGCATTTTTGACCGATGTGTTTAGCAGCCGACCTCAAACGAGGTCCCTTGACCCGACGACGTCGTAGAAGCGTTGCGCTGCCGTCTGCCGTAATCCCGGCAGTGGCAGACAGACGTTCTAACGCAGGTCCCTTCTTAGCTTCGCAGTCTGCGGACGTTTCGACAGCCACAAGCTGGGATGCCGCGACGACGGCAATACTTCTGTTTGCCCACGCCTCTCGCCGGAACGTCTATGGCCAACCGCCGGGACCGCGACGTACGACCACACAAACGCCGTCCCCTGTGATGTCGTTTGTCGCCGCTTCAAAACGAATGCTGAACGCACAGTTAAAGACTCATTCCGGGCACCTTGGCGACGCACCCTTGGCTCACTCGTGACACCCCACCACATCAGTGACGCAAGAGCACCTTGTGTCTCTTGTAGCTCCGCTTGTGCACAAAGTCCCTTCCGCACGTCCGGCACACGAACGGCTCCACGCGCATGTGGATCCTCTGGTGGATGTTGAGGTCCCCCTTCTGCGCGAAGCCCTTCCCGCACGTGGAGCACACAAAGGGCCGCTCCCCAGTGTGGGTCCTCTCATGACAGGCGAAGCGGGTCCTGTCGTTGGTGGAGTAGGGGCAGAAGGGGCACCGGTGCTTGCCTTCCTCGCGGAGGCGTGGCACCCGCCCCCTGCGGCCCGCTGGGAGCTCGGGTGCGAGCCGCAGCGGACCGGCGTAGCCTTCGGTGCGGAAGGGGCGGTTCGCCGGATGGAAGAACACGCCGTATGGCTCTGTCGGAGAAAAACGGGCACGAAATCCGCTCGTTAGGGCTTTCCATCGAGGATTTCTCATAGCTTGTTTACTGTAGGCGTTTTTTGTTTACTCGTCTCCGGCGACGTAGTTCACACGTCCGGTACGTGACGCGAAAAATTCGAGACACTACAAGTTACAACCCGGAACAACCCCGAAAAAATGTAAAAGCAAAGCAAGGACTGACAACCGTCAGAAAAACGGAAACACCTGCCAGTTATGCGGCAAGGGCAAAACAATGTTTTCCCCCGTACTGGAAGTTCCACGGTTCAAGATGGTGACGACTACACGGAAAATGTGCGTGGTCGGCAGCAGCGAGAACAGCAGGGCATGTCTTCATAATGCCCGGCCTCCGAGTGCTCCATGCTCCGTGCCTCCTCGTAAGAGAGCCAAGCCTTTTACGAGGAGAGTTTTTCTTGCCACACTTCGTACACGGATGAATGGTTACGGTTTATTGCAAGAACTGCAGTAAGTCGTGCAATGTCTGTATAGCAGTTGGCTTTTGCGGCCAAAAATGGCAGCCCCTTTTCAAAATGACCACGTGGCACATATCACGTACGAGCGCTGATTTTCAGTACAGACGGACTGTGTGCTTGCTGCTGATAAACATCTTATGCTGTTTTCTTGAAGCCTGGAGGTCGAAAGCCGAACCAGGACGGACAACTTCTGGCTTTAAGATTGCTTTGAGCCTTACACTTAGTCCAACGTCTGCTGAACTGATAAATAGTACAACAGCGTATCGCAAAAGATACCTTTACACTATTCAGTAATACAGATTTTAAATTCCCTGGACCAACCTACCGATTTCTAGCATTGTCGCACCTGGGACACAAAAAGCTACTGCTCTGGGTAAAATATATGAGGCAAATCTATGTGTTCTTCAGACAATGCCGGACACCAATAACGGAAGGGTACCAAGCTGAAAAAGGCTTTATAGATGCCAACAAGGACGTACTACAAAGTTTACTATTTCAGTAAGCATTTGGGGCACAGAAGAAAGTTTCAGGACTTCTCTCATGACCTCAATTGAGGAACAGATTCCGCAAAACCACAACACAATTTGAAAACGATCGATTGGATGGCCACGCCACGCAGTATAAACGCTCTGTGAGCTTCCCCTGTGTGCTTCCACCAGCGTAACGACGAACGACCGGCAAGCAATCCATTGGGGGTCAGGAAAGCCTGGAAGATTAAGCAAAAGTTAGCATAAATTAATCAGAGTTTGCAAGCATTAAAAAAAGTTTGATGAGGAGCAGGCTCGCGCAAGTTCAGAAATCCTCTTTACGTTTGTGCATGCACGGAAGGATCGGTGGCCGAGTGCATTACCACATTGCAGCTCGAAGCATGTGTAGCGAAAGCTCGCACTGCAGAACCCGGTAATCCTGTGTTCAATCCCCACCCGTCTCTTTAGAACTGGATGAGCATTGTACCGGCGTGCAGTCATATATCGTTACTGTGGGATGCATGTTAAAGACTCCAGGCTAGCGGTGGTACTGCATTGGCTAAATTACTCGTATACAGTGGTCACGCAAGATCCACTGGGGCTGACTAACTTCCCGCCGTATAAACATACACACGAAACATTTTCCATGCTTGTAAGAGTGACCTAATGTTACGCATAAAGTCAGCAGAGAGACCCGTGAACATTATCTGTTGCATGTGGCTGATAAAAAAAGTGTACACTTAATTACTCCCAAGTATGACACATCCTAAAATTGAACAGCATTCAGGAACACTGACAAGAGTTCTCACGGTGAAGACACATTCCAAGTAGTTGACACTGCCTCTCTGAATAAAACAAGCAGTCAAACTCGGAATGGTGCTAGAAATGTGATCTCTTACGCGTCGCTTGAGTGTTAAACTGAACATAAAATATTAAATATTTTACTGCTTTTCGTGAACTTATTCCACTTGTGCAGTCCTTGGGTATAACTAAAAGTTGTAAAACAAAATAATCACCCGAACGGTATTTGGCTAAATGCCATGCAAAGTGTCCTCATTGCAGGGATATTATAACAAACAGCAGTCAGTATGAAACGTTCGAACATTCAGCACAAACGAAAATTCAGTCTCATTCGGGCTTGCGACGGAGCAAATTACAGCTCAATAAATCTGACATAAGCTAGCATGGACGCCGTTTCACAGAAAGAATGTTCAAGCTGAACACATGATGGTTCACCGCAGGAAAATAGCAGAGAAGGCGGACGCGAATTCCTGCAAGTTATTTCGCTTGTCACCAATCACCACCGAATGTAGGAAAGAACGCGCACAGAACATCACACATTTGTCTACACAGCATCCACAACACAACTATACAATGCCGGAACAACAAACGCCCACCACGGCGATCGCCATGACTAGATTGGAATGGATTCTTTCTTCCTCCTGTAGAGAATCCTCGGAAAACAAACTTACTTCGTGCTGCTTCGGTTTTTAGAAGGTGGACAATCCAACCAAAAGTTTAATTTGTTACGTTACGTGTATCGTGGTGCTACGGAGGATCTCTTAAGTAACAGTTAAAATTTGTTGAAATATTGTTGGTCTCTTCTATGGCGAATCCCGGGAATACAGAAGTTGTGGCCACAAATTAGCCAAAGACAGTATAAATCCACTCCAGCAATGGCGGTTCACATCAAGGAGTTCCCCGAATTAAGAGGATCGAAAAGACTTGTATGCGTGTGCACGTAACCAAGTTGTGTTTTCGTGTGCCGCCAGCAAAACCCGGCAGGCATGCCGAAAGGAGAGCACCGGCACTGGCCGGGTTGTCGAGCCGGAACCGGTCTTCGTTCAGTGTGCCCAAAGATGAAGCTCGCCGAGATCTGTGGAAGAATCGTCTTCGCCGCAGTGAAAAGCCCCTAGACGACAAATGTGTGGTGTGTGAGCTTCTCCTCGAGTAGTGCTGCATTCTCCGGGATTACGCTCACGTCGTGGATAGAAAAGAGATGAGGATTCCGCGTGGAGTGCCGAAAGCGTTTTGCTAAACATGCTGGGAAAGTGGTGTATGCACTGTCAAGTGCGCTCGACGGATATGGAGGGTGGAAAGGGAAACTTCGAAGACTCATCTCCTGGTCATGGCAGTGGCGTCTTTCCCAATGCTCCCTCTCGTTTCAAGCAAGCCAGCCCAGGAATCACCTTGTTACTTGTGAATTGGTCATAGGTATTTTGAATCCATGTATGTACGGATATCTAGACCTTTTGCCGATTTACTCAAGCATCGAAGGGAATGCTGGAAATGTAGCTACATGCACTGCATGTGCACGCGCAGCGGTAACTGTGTGGAAGCAAAATTCTAAAATGTCACTTCGCACTTGCATTTCTCTAATGCCTTATTTTGGTTATATTCTTCAAATCTTTTATAGGGGGAGGGGCAACGCTTGCGGCGTGTGTACAGTGCTAATCACACTTGTCTATAACGCGCGAGCGAGCGGCTTTCTCCGGGGAGCGCTAGACTGGCGGCATTCGCGAAAACTAAGCTAGTCACGTGGCGCAACATGGAACGGCCCGCTCGAGGGGTGTCCCGCCCACTCTATCAGCTTGATAAGCGATAAAAGTAAAGTGCTTTATGATTTATTTTTGTTTTTTTGATGACGACATTGTTGATACGCCTTCATGCTTTAGTGTGTTTATTGTTTGAGCAATGATGTTTGTAAAAAGCGTGCGAGCAGCCTTCTACGTTCGCCGCCAGCTGATAGAGTGGGCAGGACACCCCTCGAGCGGGCCGTTCCATGTTGCGCCACGTGACTAGCTTAGTTTCCGCGAATGCCCCCAGTCTAGCGCTCCCCGGAGAAAGCCGCACGCTCGCGCATTATAGACAAGTGTGATTAGCACTGTACCTACGTTCCCAGCATTCTCTCTGGCGCTTGGGCAATTTAACAAAAGGTCTGCAACGAGGTGGCCTTTTTACGAGACGCCAACTTATTTTCCAGGAACGCCGTTGTCCACTTCGTTGCGACCTATGCCAGTCCTCCCTTGCGAGGGTCTCCCGTCTGAAGCGGCGATACGCATCTCTGCTTCGAGCCACTTCGCTCGTGGCACCCTCCGTCCGATCTGCAAGCGGAGGCTCGTAAAGGACGTTCTGGTCGTCCCATGCAGTCCTTTCTTGTACACACTAGTCAAGGTGCCTGGAACTCGTCTTCGACTGGCGCGTTCGGCGTCCCATCTCAGTCGTGCGTTGAAAGTAATCCCAAAACGGCGACAAACGACGTCACAAAAGCGGGAGTGTCAGATTCCCGGTGCTTGGTCTTACAGGTGCCGTTGAAAAGCATGAGCGAACGCGAGTGTGGCTATCGTCGTGGCATCCCAACTCCCGGCTGCTGAAACTAGCATGGACTGTGAAGCCGGAAATTTCCTTTAGCGGAAGAGGCGTCCGCCCCATCCACCCCTGCCGTTGCGTCACCACCGTTATCGCAGCCGGCGGAAACGGGACACTTCTACGACGTCGCCAGGCGGAAATCGCGGGACCACTTTTCAGGACGGGCTAAATACACCAGTTGGAGATGCATTCCAGGTAGCACAAAATCGCTTCTGACCTGTTGCTGTTGCTTTCTTCAGCTACCGCAGGCGGTCTACCACACTGCCGCTTTGCCTCGGCGGCTCTGTAAGCGGCAGCAATGATACCTCGCCGCTGCAGTGGCGGCAACGGCGTGGCGGCAGGCATCGGCTATGCTAGCACTGCATAACGCAAAACTTTGCTGAACTGATTGCAAAAATAATCGCTGGTTCACCGATCAACTTCGCTGAACTGAAGTATTTGCTATTCCGCTATTCGTTTAGCTGAAACTTTTTTGCATAGAGTGCATAGTAAAGCGCCGGGGATTTTTTTAAGAGTTTGTTGTTCTGAAATATTTGTTAAACCAACGTTTGCTGAAGTGAGAGTTTACTGTATTGTGTACAGCATAGGACAGCACATACAGTATATTCTATTGTACTGCATACAGTCGTATACAATGTGACTGGCCCACAAATGCCGCCACCCGATTCTGTGCACTAATTTGACAGAAAACGGGACTGATTGGGTGAATCCGAATTGAACTGATTGGGTGAATCTAAACCCAGCCAATCAAGACTGGCCTCAAGCCCAGTCAGTTGTAAAGAACTAGCTGCCTCAGCCCTTGTGCTCAATTTTTGTGTGCACAGCATAACAGATAAAGGCTTTTCAAAAGCTTGAAGCCTATGGGTGCCAAGGTGTAACACATCTTTGTTGATGTCTTATTTTCTTTCAGAATTCGTGGCACACTCTGATTTGCAAACCCCAGCAAAACTGTCACGACTGAAAATTTCATAGCAACTATCTATACAGTGTGGAATGCATTGAAGTTTCGTCAGAACATGTTATTGCACGTTTGATGCCAGCCATTTGTGCACCCCACTATTTATTGCCGGGAATGCGAAAGATCCAGAAGAAATATAATTTATTAACGTAGCAAATTAGGCTAGTTGGTAAATGTTGTAGATGAAGGGGGTAAACAGCTCAGTAAATGCATATGAAGAAAAAAAAACGGGACGCGGGTGTGTCCTATTGTGGGTGTGTTTTTTTGTTTCATTAGTGAGCTGTTTATCGTGGTTTATGTACCGGAAGATCTTGTAGCAAAATATCAGTATACACTATGAAGCTTCCTGAAGTAGCCATGCTTGCCTCTTGACAGACCTAGTTCACTGTTTGAGATTGCAGTGTGGCCACAAGGTTTATCATTGGTAACTGTCACATGTAAACATGGTACTTGTATCACACCACTATAGATGTATGTGAAAAAGTTAAAACTTCACAATCTTTCTAGGTTTATTTAGGAACAGCCGATGGGCAGCTCCCGCGCAAACTGCTCCACTCCTGTTATTCAATTACTTCTACAATGTTCACTGAGTCACATTTCAAGTAATGCTGCGTCATTTGCGCCAAAGTTCTTACCCTGCTACATCCTGCCACATTTCACCAAAATGATGGTAGTCTTTGCCAACGCTGAGCCAAAAGTTAATTTCATTTTATCAAAATGGAAACTAATAGTCAAGTTGTCACTACACTGCCAGATTGTTACGGTAAACTTGCTCCGATTTTCAACACTTGTGTATCACTCTTAATAATGTTCCATTTGATATGATATTCGTATTGAACACGATACAGTACTCGGAAGTTTCTGGATATTTTTAATTGCTTGTGGTTTGTTCTGGCGGTTTAATTAGCTCCGTTGAATGCGCTTCTCACTGTGCACTACAGAAAAGCTGTGCCCACGAAGTAAAATTAGTGATCTTGTGAATGGGGCTTTGCTTCTCAGTGCATCCTTGTGTTGAGGGGTAAAACACTCTTCTAGCGTAAAATGGTACACGACCGCACATTGTTTATTAAACAAAACGTAAAGGCTGGTGAATGCTGACTGACAACACATACAAGGCAGTAACATTTGAACAATAATATTGTAGTTAGTTTATATGATAGACTGCAACATTCTGACAAGCTGCACGCATAATTTGTCGCAATCTCTTTTCTTTTTTTTTTTGATGGATCACATTGATTAGGTATAGCTGGGCTGCTCCTTATGTTTAGTTAACACCTCTAAATAAGCCCCCAACTGTTAAATTGACTTAGCAGTGGAAGGAATAAAAGCTTGGGAATACCATTAATAAGTATATACTAACTATATTTTTTTCTTGGCATATTTTTTCTCCACATGCTGACTTTTCACCATCCTAAATCTTCACATGTAAGACGCCACTAATGTTAAAAACTAAATTATCTTTGATATTTAATTACATGATTTGCAGTAGATGCTAAGATGATGTTGCCAGCCTTTGATATTTAATTACATGATTTTCAGTAGATGCTAAGATGATATTGCACAGAAATAAAAACGTAAATTCAAAGCAGTTTTTTTTTTTATTAATATTATTTGGACAGTTCAAAGCATGAATCTTGAAGTAATATTTGCAGTGGATTAAAGAGTGCTTGTGCCCCAACAGATTTTTTTTGCTGCTCCAAAATGAACTTTTGGCTGCTCCAAAATGGCTCGAACCAATCACATTACTGCAAGTCTGATAGAGCTAGTTGTTGAACATGTGTGAACCTTGAGTCCTATGCTGCACGGCGGGACAAAGTGGATCCAAGGAACCGCTTGGTCCCGCCGTGTAGCATAGGGCTCAGATCTCTCAGGAAAATATTGAACTTTGCTTTATTTTTTCAGGACTTCTTGACTTCTGCTGGCTTCCTGGACATTTCTATATGTAGGTAGAGAAATGCCGATGTGTGCATATCAGACTTGAAGGAGTTCAACTGCTCACGCCTTGAGTTATGTTGCCTCCGACATTTACTTTTAGGTTCCCATGTTTTCTTTTAGCCTTTTTGAAACAAACTGTCATTTTTCAAATTGATCCATTATCCTTTGTCAGCAGTACTTTTCCTTGGCAGCTACAATTTAGTTGTACCTTGTCTTGAAATTATAATGAATTTAATCTATCATTTGTATTGCTCCCTTTGTCTGCACTGTGTGTTTGGCATATCAACATTGAAAGAGTTTGTTGCAATCATGTTGAATAAACTTGAGACGGGCATAAATGAACATGAAAGTCGAAGGAACAGAAAGGGACGGGACCACGTCTCAATATTGAGACGTCGTCCTGTCCCTTTCTGTTCCTTCAACTTTTATATTCATTTCTGCCCCAGTCTCAGGTTTATTCAACATGGTTAACATTCACCAGCTCACCTGCACCCTTACTATTTTATCTTTGTTGCAATGCAAGCAGTGAGTGACTGCTATGCTTCAACCGAAGACAATGAAAAAAAAAAATAACGGACACACTGCAGCTGAATTTGAGACGGTGTGTTTCTAAGTTCATATTCGGTTTCCCTCTCTTGGGTTGAAGTATGGAGCACATATCAAAATTGCTTCCTTTTATTTTTGCTTCTATAATTATGAGGGAGGCAGATGTTATCTTGAGCCATGTGTTTAAAAGAAAAGCGGTGTTCCTGTCTACCTTTGTGCTCACCCCTTATATGTGCTTGAGCTCTTCACATTAGTCTTTATTGTTTTCGGTACACATTGTACCTGCAGCATCGATCTATTTTTAAATTGGATGTGTTTTGCTGGCTTAAACTATTGCACAGGTTGTCCCAGTTTGATTCACTTTTGTAACTGATGGTGCTTTCCCATATCTGTCATTTTATGAATGCATACGTCTGTACACAGATCATGTTCCGGTGAGACTCGGTTATTTGTTGCTGTTGAGCAAAGATAGTTTCTGGTTACTTGCATGTGCTAGAAGCTTTCTAAAGATAAAAATTGTGCTTCAATCAATGGCAAATCTAATGGGAAACAAAATTCTTGCAATTGCTTTAGATTGCTCTACAAAAAAAAATAAAAAAATTACTAACTTGGAATATTTTAGTCATAACATGTAGCATAAATATATTATTGAAGCGAGACAATATTGAGGTTCATATTTGTGAGGCATGGTAGCAGTACAGCGGAAAGCCTCGACTAGAAAGGTTAGGAAAAGAATTATTTGGAGCACTTATGACTGTTTTAGATTTGCAGTGTTGTTGTGCTTTTGTTTTTTACTGCAAAAGAGCTGCTTATTGCCAAACGCGCTCGGTCTTTGCCCAAATGTCGGCCGCCGATTTCCTAGTAAAAATTTTAGTCTAGCTTTTAACTTTTGAATTAAATGACAGCCAGCTCCCAAGCTTTGGTATCTGGTCCAGGCCGCTAGCACTACGTTTGGGCAGACTTGGCATTTGGTGATACTTAGTTTATTTTTTGAGGTCAAGAAACGTTTTCGGGGACACTTTGTACCATATGCCTGTTATCTTGAGGAGCCTGTCATTTATTTGCTGTCATTAGAAAAGTGTTTCGCCTTGCCTGCTACCTATGTCACCGTGAAACTTGGCTCCAGAAGTTTCTTCCGCTTGTTTGTAGCATGGCAATGAAGAGGCTTGAGATTTGTTCGGTGGGCATGGGTTCAAAAAGTGCTCGAGTACCTGGAAGCACAATTGCAAGCAGCTCGAGAAAATGGACAACTTTTGAGATATGATTTCTGATACCACTTTTGCATATGAAATTTATCTCGGAATTTGTAAAGAATCTAGACATTGATTCTTGGGAATAGAACATCTAGGGAATCTATCTCTAGATGTTTGTTTGAAACCTTAATCTCCCTCAGAAATGTATCACTAAATAAATGATTACGCATATGCAAATAGTTGACTAAAACAAAAGAAAGAAGTTTGGCACGCAAGTATGTGGTGACCATTATTGGCGGAATGGCAAAAGTATGATTAAGTGTTCTTCTCTTGCCACTAATATTTTATCATAGGTGAGCATTTTACTTGAGGCTATCGTATGCACAGATATTGACATTTTATAGTTATCCATAGAAGTTATGCAAGAGAGCCACCTTCATACTTTTTCCTGGTGTTGGCCACAGGCATCAAAGCTATAACTTGCAACCTTACAAGTTCTTTTCTAATTTCAGCCCTGTTCTTTCACTTGATCTTGATAAACAGTGAAGAAATTAATGTTTTAAGCATTTTTTGTATATCTTGTCAACAAAAGGTCAAGTCCAACATTGGAACTCTCCAGCCATCTAGAATGTCACTCTAACTCTGTCAGTGACCGTGTTTACCATAAGGAGGTCATGCGTGGCTACAGCTAAAGTAGAATTTCTGCCTTATGTGAAGGTGACTGCTGCAATCACCCCACAGTAGTTAGTAAACCTGTCGTTTTATCTATATTGGATGACAGATATGTGTGGATCGAAGTACAGGCACGTATTGTCCGCTTTACGTTGCGGGTAATGACCGAGGTATTTCTTGCCCAGCGGAGCTTGGGACAGTGCTCGGCACGGCGGCAGATGGCGTCATCAGCTGCGTGACGTGTGCAGCCTTCTTCAGCTCCTGGAGCCTGCTGCAGGACCACAGGAGGCTGGTGCACAAACACGAGTGCAGCTACTGCCCGTACTCGAGCTATTGCAGGGTTCGGGTTGTCCTCCACGAACGTACGCACACGGGAGAGCGGCCCTTCCGCTGCCAGAGCTGTGGGAAGGCTTTTTCGCAGAAGAGCCAGCTCACGGTGCATCAGGCCATACACGCGGGGGTGAAGCGCTTCAAGTGCCACGTCTGTGGCAAGGAGTTCATCCACAAGAGGAGCTTCACGAGGCACCGCAGCGTGCACTTCAGTCGGATGCCCGCGGAATAGAGAGCTTGGACGTCTCAACGATGGTGCCTGGAGTATGCGTCTCTGACCAGTACATCTGGTGCGTCGCACAAGCATCGTGCTATCCTGGTGTCATTGCGGCAGTGGAGATGTGAGTGACAGACGCCCGTTTTGCCACAGGTCACCGTCCAGCTTAATGATCAACGAACACTTCAGCGGCCGGAAGTTGGACGCCGCAACGGCGGTGACGCTCACGTTTGCTCATACTTTTTGCCAAAACTTCGGCAACCAACTGCCGGAATCACGACGTAGCCATACAAGACACTTTGTAGTTTTAGAAAGCATTTCACATCTGTATTGAACGTCTTACGGTCTTAAAAGATGTTTTATTGAGGCCGGTTCGCACATTTGCATCAGTGTGTGCTCGAGTGCACTCTGTTCCCTTCTGAGTTCTTATGACAAGAGAATGCACAGGCATCATGGCGCCATCTGTCGGGTAGTCTTAGAACTCTTCACCTTGGGCTTAAAATAATTTTGACAATGCTATAAGCAACCATTTCTCATGTACAGGGCGTACCTCAAAGGCATCGTCGTTGACTTTGCGTCATACAAACGCGAACATCACATTTGTTTTTAGGTCATAGATTTTAGCCCTCAAACTTCTCAAAACCTTCGGTCTAGCTGTGCGCAGTTCCAGGGCTACTTGACAGACGGTGCCGGTGTGCCACCACCTTCTCCCGTGGCAAGCGGTCATGAGAGAACGCCGCTCACCCGAGCACACACGTGTGAAACAGCCTTTACCGTAGACAACATCCTCTGATTGCACGAGACGGCTTATAGCCGTAAAAAAGTTAGCAGCTGCACCAGACGTCTCGCGTGAGTAGCCATCTTGTACGAGGTTGCGGCCGTAAATACCAGTACATTCGGCACGCCTTGCAATATTTTAATTCTAATCATACATACCTGAAACTGGGCACGTGAATGTCATTTACCAAAGAAGTTTTATGTCTATTTTTTTTAAAACTCTGCTCAGAGCTGGTGAAAAATTAAAAAAATAAATTCCGAGGACACCTGAGCACTTCTCATGAGTTCTAAATGTGAAAGCATGAATGTCATTCTTTCGCTCCCTTAGTTCGTCTGCAGTATACTGGCGTGGACGGCCACGTTTCGCTACTGCTGAGGTTGCGGCCACCGCCGATATAGATGCCTCGGGCGCCGCCATGTTTATAGTGCCGAGAGGAGCAAGAGTGGCTGCAACCCTTCATCCCCTCCTGCAACACTGGACACGAGAGCGGAGGCCGAGCGCGCGCTTTCGTAAAGCGGCCACCAATGGCTATCTAGGAGCCGTTTTGCTCAGCCAATGGGAGAATGGGCATTTCTCTCACGTTTATTTGTGGTTACAGATGCCGCCGGCTCCGCTCCATGGGATAGTTAATGTTTTCGCATTAAAATAGCGAAAATGGTGGCCGTGTATTTTCTATGTCCTACCCTACACCGGATGTTCGTCGTCTGCGCGCTGGTTTGCGAGCTTGTTCCCATGCTGTCATCATTCATACATTTCGCTAAAATTATTACTTATTGCAATTATTCTGCTTGTCACCAGTCTCTACTGCGCGTTCTCGGCGTTTTTGCGTTCAGAAACTCATTCGCGCAAACCAGTAAGCAGACAATGAAGGGGCTGGTAAGACACAGGATATACGCAGCCGTCAGTTTTGCCTAAATTTTAATGTTTCGCCACCTCCGAGTTGAGCTCTAAAAAAAATTAGACATAAAACTTCTTATAAAACTTGTGTTTCCAATTGTTCATACAGTTTCAGGTATGTACATTTGGAATTCGAATTTTGAGAGGCATGCCAAATGTGCTAGTCTGTACGGCCGTGCCCTGTATAAACTACCCATAGGAGATGGATGGCTCTGAAAGCTTTCTTTTCTTTAGTATGATGTCTCAAAGAATGCTTGGGACACGACCTTGAAGATGTGTGGACATATGGGTTAGCCTTTTTTTTGGGTGGTTAATATAATTATAAATATGTGATGCAACTTTTTTTTTTCTGTAGTTGCTTATTCTTAAAATGGGCACCTTGTATTATAGGCATTCCTTGAAAAACCATAAAACTTTCAACTACGCTGGCCGTATACAAAAGCAAGTAAAACTTTATGAATGGCTGCCAATATAAACCTTGCACTGTCATCACAATCTTTTCCAAATCTTCACAGTGTATGTGGTGTTATCACATGGTATTGAACATATCTGTTGACTCATTTGTTTCTATGTCAGTATTATGTTGCGTCATACATAGAGGGTGCTGTGTATCATCCAATATAGGTATATAACCACATTGTCATCAGACTAAAAGGTTGTTTAGTGTCCAGCATCATTACCAGGCTGGCCGAGATTTGTCATCACCTGGTGCTATCTCAAATTTTTATTTTGATGATCTATGTAACACGCTTCAATGCCTGTGTTCAGGTAGCATGCCGATACAGTTGAATTTACCTGGCTATATGGAGCGTTGGAATAACTACTCTAAACACCCAAACCTATCAAGTTAAAGCTCGTGGCGGCTTACACTTTTGGCTGTCAAACATTACTTATTGATGCTAGTTGTTTGCGTGTTACAATGACCATGTCTTTCAAAGTCCACACTGCATGCTACGGGTAGTACAAAAAAGCAATCACCAGTTTTTTTTAATATCTTTTCTCTTAGAATTGAAAGGTTGTCATCAGAACTGCTAGGGTGATGTAAAAATCTATTCATTTGGGGCATTAATTTAAAGAGGCAAAATTTGGTGCCCGCCACACGCCTTTGAAGTAAAATGCAAAAAAGAGCTGATGTTGTGAATAGACTAAGTGTGCAGGCAAGCTGGTGGTAGCTAATCATGTTGTTCAACACCTGAGACTGGGATGCAGAAAAGAAAAAAAAAACTTTTAGTCGAAGGAACGTTCCCGTCCGTGTCTGTTCCTTCGACTAAAAGTTTTTTTCTTTTCTGCAGTCTCTGATGTTGTGTTTGGGCCGACTGTGTTGCACAGTGTGCATCTTGAAAAAGAAAAGCAACCTTGAGACATTTGACTTGTCTCAATGTTTTGTTTGCAGGTGCTCCGATTGTGCCATTCTTCGCGGAGTAAAAATTTACATGAAGCAAGAATTGAGAACAGAAAACAATGAGTCTCGAACTTTGCTGTCAAGGTACTGAAAAATTTTACGAAGAGCAGTACACCTTGACCTTCTTGAGGTTGAAAACTCCAGCCAGTGGAGTCAGAGTTCAAAGAGACAGTTCGTTCATCCCTGGATTGCCACAAATGGCCTTTGTTGAGAATGTAAGATGGCTGAACTTCCCTCTGGCAGTTGTGTCAGTTGAGGCATCACATCCTAATGAATGATGACATGGTTGTATGTTGTATCCTCCAAGAAGCATAGGTAAATTTTGAAAACATGGTTAAACTTCAATGTTGCACGAATAAGGCAGATTATGAAAAGTGTGCTAGATTAAAGCAACGAGCCAAGTTTTATTAATGCCAATGCATCAACTGTCCCATAGAGCGAAGCCGGCGTTGTCTGTAATCATCTGGAGCAGAAAAACGGCACCTACAAGAAGAATTCCCATTGTCTGCAGTGTGTCACGTCGGATGCTTCATCACAGAAGCTGGCCGGGCGCTAAAGGTCAAAGTGGACGTGCCTCAGAAATAAAACAAAGAAAAGCACAGCAACGCAGATGCATCGTCACGGAAGTCGTGGAACCAGAGGGGACGCCGTGCCTGTGCAGTGGGGGAGCGTTACGTCACTGCCGGTGCACCGTGTGAAAAAGGAAAACATGGCGCGCTGCTTGTAGGAATACGCTGCATGTAGGAATGCAAAAGCATTCCTACACGTAAGCAGTCTTAAGTGTCTCTGCCGAATTTTTATATTAACTTTATTTTGAATTAGTATTCAGACTATTAAATGGACAAAGCCAAATCATAGATTTCACTTTGTATTGTCACTTCTTTTGTGCGCTTGTTTCCTATGCGGAGAGCAAGTCGTCTGCTTCTTGCGCAGGAGTTGCGGTGACGTCAGAACGACGCCGAGCTCTGATTGGCTTTGATTGAAAACAATGCTGGATGCCTTAAGGTCTACCCACTATTTTTTTTTTTTTTTTTTTCAATCAGCCAATGAGAGCCTCGGTGTTTTAACATCATCGCAAGCTCTGTGCAAAAAGCAGACAAATTTGCACTTTATGTGGCTAGAGTTGTGTGACTACAAATTGGAAATGAGGCACCTTTTGTTTCCCCAATGAACAAACCTGCCGTAAGTACTTTTATTAAATGATCTGTAATATTTTATTGTAGCACTTTGTTGCTACTACCTTGCTAGTGGAAAGCGTGCTCAAATGCAAGCGATTGTTTGAGCGCTTCTTTGTGCCACTTCTCCGCAATGCGCCCTACGACACGGGGAAGCCAACGAGCACCTTTCAGGCACGCACGTATCGTGCGCTGGTCGTTTTGCTTCGATTTGTTCCATAGAGTTTCAGAGATTAATTACTAAACTCCCTCCCACTATGCGAGAATATATCGATGCAAACGTAAGGCCCGCTCGCACAAACCGTCCGGTCAACTTCAAACATTAACCAAAAATGTAAAAAAAAAAAAAAAAAAAAAAATTATGTTTATGGTTTGGCTCGAAACCGAAAATACAGGGTGCACCATCATAATCTAAAACCCAAAACAAAAATAAATAAAATGCGCGTCATGTTTTCGTTGTTGTTTTGGATTGGTTTTGGTTTGCATTAAGGGGTGTCCAAACAGGACACTACAAAACGCACGACTCCGACAAATCGTAAAAATTGAAGTGGACGCGCCCGCTTCAATTTTTACGATTTGTCGGAGTCGTACGTTTTGTAGTTTTGTAGTATCCAACAGTTTTGATTTGCACGATTTGCAGCTGCGTGCTCTAGCCAATCTTGCTGGCGTTCCGATCCAGATCCAACCCAATCCAAACAACCGTGGCACGCTCCGTTCTGTGTGTTTTCGTTCTGTCTCGATTACTGTTCTTCACTACGCGCTAATTCCAGTAATGCGTTCAATTTATAAATCAAACTACCGGGTGAAACAAGGAGACGGTAGGCTCTTTAAATGGACCGGAAAATTCGGTTTCTTAACCTATTGCGCTACGACTTTGTGCAGCGTTGCCCACAGATGGTGCATTTTTTTCGTAAAATTTGCAAAGAGCGAACTTACCTGAGGAAAAAGTAAAGAAAGAAAAAGGCTTAGCTCCTATGGAAACGCAGCGACGCCACCGGTCTGCAATCAACACGGCGCCGTTTCGCACGGTAGACAAGAGATGGCGCAAGCGGTCGCGACGCCAACTGCTGCCAACGAACGAGCAGACGACGCCGAGAACCGGCGTTTTTAGCAGACAAGGAACTGCAGTTGCTTGTTGTTACCGCGCCTGTTTTTGTTTCTGCAACTGTCGCCGTTTGCGGAACGCGCGCCGCTTTTGATTCGAAAAGATCGTCTGCTAAAAACGCTGGCTCTCGGCGCCGTATGCTCATTCGTTGGCGGCGTTCGTTGCGCCATCTCTTGTCTACCGTGCAAAACGGCGCCGTGTTGATTGCAGACCGGTGGCGTCGCTGCGTTTCCATAGGAACTAAGCCTTTTTCTTTCTTTACTTTTTCCTCAGGTAAGTTCGCTCTTTGCAAATTTTACAAAAAAAATGCACCATCTGTGGGCGACGCTGCACAAAGTCGTAGCGCGATAGGTTAAGAAACCGAATTTTCCGGTCGATTTAAAGAGCCTACCGTCTCCTTGTTTCACCCGGTACTTGCATCGCAGAAACTTTGGATCAGCCTCCTTTACTGGAGGTGCTCGAATGTTGTGCCGGCACGGACATGCAGCGTAAACACGCTTTGTCCATTTGACGCATCCCAAACTCCTGTTTTTCGAGCGCATATTCGTCATCTTCAGGTATTGTTCGGTGAGTCCTTGACGCGGCGTTGGGTAGAGCTCTACTTGAACCCACGTCTCTCTACGGACGCTAGCCACGTGAACTCCTCGTTTGTTTACCTACGGTTTCTTTATTCGGTCTGTGTCGCCAAGTCACCCCGATCACTTTCGCCGGTGAAGTCGGCGCGGTAAGTGAACGACCATTCTTCGTAGCTTCCTTTTCCTACGCTGTAATCTCGGCCGTTACCGGTCGACGCTTCCCAATGACAGGGCCGTGGGTCCGATCTTCCGACGTCGCCTTCGGTCACTGGCGCTGCGGCAGCGGTCGGATGGGACTCGTGTGCAATCAGGGAGGACACGAGTCCAATCCCAACGGTGGCGCGCAGCACTTGTGACCAGCCCGTGCCCTGCATGGCTCGGTAGGCGACGTAAAAAAAAAAAAAAACATCATTACAGCTGGATTTGTTACGCTGGCGGTGTTGGTTGACAGCTGAAAGGATGGAGAGAGAGAGAAGAGATAGGCAGTCAGAAAAAAAAGAAGAAAAAAGAACACTTCTGTCTCGCACACAGAGCGTTATGGAAGGTGAACACGGCATGGGCACTTTTCCAGGTTCTGCTCAGATCCGACAAGGCAGTGGTGTCGCGGTGCGGCATTTAACAGAAGCGCTTGGCATAGAGTACGGCCAGACTGGCACAGACATCCTGTGTATCGCAGCCAACCTTAGTTTCTAATCAATATCAGCTACCCGAGCACAGCACTGTACAAAGCATACAAAGCTACAGTCGGTGTGGAACTCTTTCACGCAAAACTTCGAAATTGAGACCACAGATCCCCTCCAGACACTCTTTCGTGCGCTGGCAAAAAATGCCGCGATCATCTCAATCTCAGTCAATCTTACTCGATCTCACCGGCGAGCGAAAAGCGATCTGTTAAGAAGAGGAGCGAAAACTACT